GCGATAAGTATAACATTTCGACATAGTTTCAGTTTTGGTCATAGTTATCTCTAACGATGGTATGAGATTTTTGTATCTCAAGATTAGGTTCTCCAGTGTTTTTTGTTCTGCAATAGCTTCACTTTCTGGACAATGTGAAACGAGATAATCAAGGGTTTGAACCAGCCACTTCATGTCTTCTCTCTTTTGGTCAGCTTCTTGGCAAATAGCCTAAATAAATAATTTTTAATTAACAAAATATTATTTACAGATTAGAAAAAATACCTAAAATAAAATACTATACACTATACTCGCACATTAAAATTTTGATGTATTTTAAAGGACCAATTTTGATGATTTTTTAAAAAAATTGTGGCTAAATTATTTGAATTTTTAGTAAAAAAACTCTTTGCAAATTTTAAATTAAAGTTGCCATCTGTCAATTATACGATACGAGGAAAAACAAAATGTTGAAATTTTGGTGAAAGTTTGAAATACCCTGTGGACTGGCGTTAACAAAGTAAGGAATTCAAAAATAATTTTATCATCTAGATGCATCTTTTGCCGATAGTTTGTTTTTTGGTTCATCTCAAAAGCTTCTTTTTTTAGAGATATTCACTTTTTAAGAAGGCACTAACATTTTTTCGTAATTTTTACATTAAGACCATGCCTTTGCTTTTGGTTCTAGTCAACAGACCATAAAATAGTGTTTACAGTTTAATGTCACTGTCTTTGAAAAATCATATTATTATTGTCTGCTGGACAATTACTCTAGCAAATATGGTTTTAAGTCCAAAAGCTGATCTCTCCCATGATCAATTAAAGCAGAAATAGCCGATACTTTAGAACTTAAAACCATCTCTACTAGAGTAAACGTCAATAAACAATAATAATATGACTTTGCAATGACAGTGACATTACAAAAACAATAAAGACTATTTTATAAATGTATTGATGAGGATCCAAAATCAGTGCTAAAAAAAGTAAATCGTTATTGTTTTATTTAAAAACGATTATCTCCAATAAAAATAAAGCTACTGAGATAAATCAAAAAGCAAACTATCGTGAAAGGACGTACCTAGATGGTAAAATAATTTTTAAATTCCTTGTTTTATTAACATATTCTACAGGGTATTTCAAACTTTCACCAAAATATCAACATTTTGTTTTCCCTCGTATAATTGACAGATGGAAACTTTCATTTTTAATTTAGAAAGAAATACTAAAAAGTCAAATAATTTAGCTATAAATTGGTTAAAAAATAATCAAAATCGGCCAACTGGAACGAAATATATTAAACTTAAAAATACATCAAAATTTTAAGGTGCCCGTTTTTCACCTTAAAAGAAACTCACCTTAAAAGCCGCAATTTCTCTATCAAATTCTTCTGGTGTGCTTACATCAGTTAAAATATTCTTCAAGGCATCATCAATTGAGTCCATCCACCTTACCATCTCGCTAAATTTGATTCTATATTGATCCCACTTCTGAGGAATCCTCTCCAATTGTTGCTGTACGTTTTCTATTTTCAAGTTAACATTCTTCCATAATTCTTCAGCTTTCTTCAGCGATTCTTGAAGACTTTTATCGTCGGGACAATTCTGCGAGTATACTTGAGCTATTTGTTCTAGATTTCTCAAACTCTTCTGAGTTTCGAACAGTGGGCCTCGAGGTCCGAAGAAATCTTTGTGCCTGGCGATTACTAGTTCAACGTTTTCTTGCTTATTTACTGCAAGGTGTTCATTCTGGATTTCTTTCTCCAGTTCTTTGATATAGTACTGGAAGGTGTTTTCATCCAACCGGAATTCGAGTCTCATTAAATGAAGTGGAGCGAATGAAAGTACCTCTTTCCATTTGTTTTGAAGATGATGAACAGATGAGGTAATAGGACTGTGTTGTTCTTTGGGAAGGCAATTACACAAATCTTGTGCGCTTTGGACCAATTCGTGAATCCATCGCTCGTTGACAGATTCAAAGAAATTCTTATGTTCTTCTACGATACTTTTACTATCTATCCGTTTTTCAGATATTAGTTTTTCAGCGTGATTTAGCCAGTTTGATATTACTCTCTCACTTTCACTGAAATTATACCAGCATCTCAATGCTTCCTGAAGGCGCTGCTCCCAAATTTGTGCGTTTTGAGTGACATAAGCGAACCTATCGTTTAGTTGTTCCATATTCTCCGTCATTTGAATTATGTCAGGGTTACTAGCTCTATCTACAGACTTTACTATATTATTCAGTACTTTGTTTTTACTGTCTAGCATGGATTTGTAATATAACGTTCTAGTGAAAAATGTTTTAACTTTATCTAATTGGTCCTTTAATTGTTCTTTATCTGCTTCTAAAGTTAAGGTGCTGAGTAAACCTTCTGCGTTATCGAGCCAATCATTAATTTCTTTTTGTCCAGCTTCCAGAGACTCTTGTTGGATTAGTAATTGATTAAATAAATGAATCTGAGCTGGTATCAATGCCCTGACTCGCACTAAAGCTTCCTTTTCTTGTTTAAGCGTGTTCATCATTTTATCCACTTCGTCCCTTGATAGATCTTGAATCAATGTCTGGAAAGCTTTGCTAATATTCTTAAACAAGTTTTCTATTTCTTCAACTTCGGATTGTAGCTTGATTAAGGTGTCTCTGTGTAATCTTATGCGGTCCATTGAGCCTAGGCTGGGTGCGTTAAGAGTTTCTTCGGCTTTTCTTAACCAGTTTGATAAAACTTCAACTCCGGCTCTGAAATCTTTACGATTTCTTAGAATATCACCCGCGTGGCTGTACTTGTTGATGTGAGGGTATATTTTGTCCCAACGTTCAGTCATGTTCTGATATGTGTTTCTCAGTTCGGCTGCGATGGGATCTTCAACAGTGGCTATTAGGAAACTGACTGTATCTCCTAGCAGTTGATATTTGTCTCTGAAAATAATATTAAAGATAAAGGAGGTATGATAATATATGAAATTATTTATTCAAGAGTTACTTATACCGGGTGCGTCTCAAAAGTGGCTCAACCTTTTCTCAACTTTTATTTTAAGTGTTTTTTTACTTTAACTTTTATTTTTCAGATAAAAAAACAATATTTGGTATATTAGTATATGACAAATTAGAATTGATTGACGTATTCTATTGTTTTTGGTCACTTGCTGTTTCACCGGAAATGACTACAACTTTTGATTTTTAAATGGTACGCTCGTTATATTTTTACTTTATTCAATAGAAAATGATACTTCTGAATACAATGACATATCGTATGTCAACTTTTGACACTTTCGCTTAAAAAATCGTATTTTTTTTCAATTTAGAGTGCCATGGCTATGTTAAAAAGATTAATTTTTAATCAAGGAGCTTTAGAAATATAGATTTGATCGTCTAATATTTTTCGTGTCTTATCCTGGCCGGTTAAAAGATGCCAAAATCGTATTTTTAATCATATCTCATTTTTTCAAATGGAACAAGGGTGGCTCATTAATATATTAGGAAAAGGTAATTTTTTATGAATAATTTGGTACCACACACTTGGTATTTCGAGTCAAATTGTCATTATGTTACAATTTTAAATAAACTATATGCGAGAATGTCAAAAATTGACATATGATATTATTTTTATTTATTAGTGTCAATTTCTATCAAATAAAGTAAAAAATACCGAGAGTGTAATTTAAAAATCAAAAGTTGTAGTCATTTCCGGTGGAAGGAATTCAACAGGAAGTGACCAAGAACAATTGAATATCATCATATCGTATACTAACATACCAAACCTGGTTTTTTTTATCTGAAAAAGTAAAAACTTATATGGATGAGCCACAGATGCACCCGGTATAATAGGTGTTAGTTAGATAATTAGTTTCTGTGTACTAATCTAAGAATGTAAGAATGTTGGAAATTATTTTTAAGTATGAATGTTGTCTGCTAGGGAGCGTAACAATAACACAAAATCAAAAATAGTTTCCCAACTTTTTTTTCGTCTGAAGCAAAAAATGCGTCGTCTGTTCTATATTAAATTCTTCTATTAAAATAAAGTGGTGGAGGAAAGTTAGATATTTTTCATTTTAAGGTTAAATTTTAATATCTCTGTCATGGATATCTCTGACATGGATAAATCAACTTAGTATAAAAAAGAGTGTTTTTGTCCTACTGGTAGATCAATAAAAAGGTTTCAAAAGTATCGAAGTAATGCTAATTTTGTAAAAAAAAACGGTATGCTATAACTTTTATACATATCGTCGGTGAAACGTGATAAACTGCTAACTCCATTATTCCTAATTTTACAAGAGAGCAAAAAAACGGTACAAAAAAATATGTACAAATGTAGGAAGTATTTTGATGTGTTAATATGATAAAGAGATAAGAATTTTATTTGCTGGGGAACAATAAAACTCAATATATCGTGTTACGTCATTTTTTTCAGACACAATAGGGAGATAGCAGATATTCGTCTTGCAGAAATAAGAAATAAAAATATACTTCTGGAGATAGCAACTTTTATTGTTTGAAATTTTGAAAATGGAAATGAATATTACCCAAATAGATTTAGAAATAATCAATTAAATTTAAAAAATATGATATTCATAACCATATATTTATAATATCGTAATAAGTCCAAAAACGAATGAATTTTTAATAAAAATTTAAAATTTTTTGGCATTTTTAAAGAACTGAAGTAGCAGAATTTTGGACTTAATGAATATGAAAATAATTTAAAAAATAAACTTATAATTCATAGAAGATATGCTAGAATCCTTCCATGCTTATCCTAATTTTTATACAACGGTAGTAGACCGAGCTTGGAAGACTAGTGCATGATTTTATTAATTTTTTATTACTTTTCTCCTTATTTTTTTTAATTTTTATAAAAATTATGGATCATTTACGTGAAAAAACGCTGAAAAAAATAAAACTGATTAGGTATTATGGAAATTCTTGTACAAGTAAGTAAAGTTATTTAAACTATTTATAGCACGCCGATGAATTGCTCGTATATAGAGAATTTCGTTTTTCCCCTTACCCTTTACGGACACCCCGTATTTACAGAACGGATCGACGCAGGGTCGGACTGGCCATATTATACAGATAACTATTAGGGGGGGGTCTAGCCTTCGCGGGCCCCCTTATAGTTCATTATTTATTCTTAACAATATTTGCTTTTGCATTGCATTATGGAATTTTCATTGCTTTGGTTTACCTTGCATTAGGGTAGTTCCCTGAGTTCTATACTAGGTGAGTCTTAAATAAGTGCAAATATGTTCAGGGCTGGCAAATCTCGATAAAAGAAACATAATATTTTCTCTTTACCGTTTTTTTTTCAAATAAATCCAAAACAACCGAGTTATTTCACTTTTAAAATTTCCATTTTTTGCTATAATTTTGAGAATCATATATTGGATTTTCTTTCTTGTAAATTTAATCTATTACCTATGCTACCATATTACAAACAAGGTATGTTTTTAAACTAAAATTTAAAAAAAATCCATTTTTTTTTAAATTCCAAATTTTCAAAAAAAATCGCGCAAAAAAAACTCATAATCGTGTTTCTTGGGTCGAAATATACTACCCTAAAATATTTGCACTTATTTAAGACTCACCTAGTATAGAACTCTGTACAACTGTATATAATAGGGAAAAATTGACCAAAACGTAAGGCGAAAAATACGCAAAAAGAAACACTCGGGCCACTCCTTTCACATTGCCACCCGGGTCCCTTTGGCCTAGTGCAACCCTGGATCGACGTCCTGTACTAAAAAAACAGACGACTAAGAATCTGTGTGTTTGCTTTAGCGTGATCGTAACGGATATTACGGAGATAGCAGCATTTCGGTGGTTATTTCAGAACACTAGGAGTTAGCAGATATTATTGAGTTAAAATAAAAAAAAATCTTTAATGGGAAATAATGTATTTGCTTTCCCTACTTATAGAGTATTTTTTTCTCTTTCTAATGGTATAAAAAAACTTATTAACGTAAAAAATGGAGTTAGCAGGTTATCACGTTTCACTGAAGATATTACGGTTTAGAGTTATGATAAAAAAATTCGGAGTGGAAAAATTGCGAAGACCTTGGCGAAGTGAAAATTTATTTTCTAAATTTTTGCAAATCTAAATTTTTTTTTAGTTTTTGGATTTTGGGACCTCCTCAAACAATGTATGATTAGTTGTCTACATAATATACTGACCGGTATACTGTAATGTCTTGGAAAAATTCCATTTTCCCTTCTTCGTCCAATGTCATTGCTTGTTCGGCTTGGTTGAGCCAAGTGTCAAATTCTGGTGCTAAAGAATCCCATCGTCTCCAGTATGCGACTACTTCTTCTAACATACTTTGGACGCATCTTAGCTCCATGGATACGTTCTTCCACCGTTCGGCTATGTCTCTCATAAACTTGTCTATTTCCCACAACCTCTTTTTTTTTTATCTGAGAAAAATACAACAGTTCCTTTAATAAAGTTTAAACTTAAAGTAATATTATTTAAAAAATAAAATTAAAAAAAGAATTTTGTAAATAAGATAAAATGATGGTATAAAATAAAATTGTTACAATAGAAATTAATAATACCAATCAGAATAGAAAATCCTGACGAATCTATGTTTATTTTTCTCGCTGTAACAAACCCCTTTCTTCTTCTCTGTTTTTTCTCTAAATAAATATTAATATTTGAGAATGGATCCACAAAAATTGTGTATTTACTTATATATTTATGAGAATATTTAGGTTATTGGTAATAATTTCCGAAATGTAAACTGTTAAGCTTCATTCAGAACCTCGCAATTAGTGGAATAAATTAGTGGTTTCAATTAGCGTAAAACTTTGTTCCTCTAATTTGAATGTAAGCATTCAGAACGTCAAAATTAGTGGTAGGAATTTTCAATTAGTGGAAAAAGTTCACAAACTTTTAAGTTTTCCACTAATTATACTTCAAAATTTGCGAAAAATGTCATTTTCGTCTTTGATTATATTACCCGTCAAGAGAAAATGTGGTTAGAAATCAAAAATATATTGTTTTATAAGATATACAGGGTGGTCCGAACTGTATTCCGGAAACTTCGGCAGCATATTCTGCAGATAAAAATAAGTAAAAAGTTCATATAAATGTAAGTCCTAAAATGCTTAGTTTCAAAAGATACAGGGTGTAGAAGTTTCATTTTTATTTCGATTTTTTTCAAATAATTTCTGAAGTAACGTCAATATTTCGATGAAAATTGGTGTCTGGGAGTTTTGTGACACGAGAAATTGCGGGGTTCTTAATGAAGCTTTGGTATTAGAAATATAATATAAGTTTTATAAAATACTACCCGACTCGGTTGACTCCGTACCGCCTATCAGTGAAGTGGGTGTTTTTTTTACCAACTCTGTGGTATAGATGATTGATTAACCAAGGATTGACCTAATGATTCCTCTATATTACTGTTTAAGTTTCGATTCAAGTAGCACAGACAACATGAAGCAAAAAATGACACTTTCGAGACTTGCCTACAGCTAATATACTGACAGGCAACGGCACTGGAATGTTCCAAGAGTTTTTCATACATTCTGTTTAGTAATACCATACGATCAAAAAAAAACGGCGTCAAAAACGGCTAGGGAATAATAATCAGTGATAATTTTGGCAAGATTCAGCCCTAGACGTCAGTTACTTCGCTCGTGATTTTCTTTATTTTTTAATGGCGTTCAAGAAAGTTGTAATTTATTTTTATATCGAGTAAAAATGATTTTTAAATAGTAAAGTACACTATTTTTTGAGAATAGATTTGTGTTTCTGGAAATGTTCTATCCTCTTTTAATTTTTCTATAATTAATGTCAATTTTTGACAAGTTTTATATAGATTTTTAGTAAATGACATCTAGAGATCTACCTCGCCAAAATTATATCAACGATTGTCTTTCCCCATTCGTTTTTGACGCTCTTTTTTGGCATTGTAAATGTCTTAATACTGAAGAATCATAGCCATAAGAATTGTGTATTTACTTATGTAAGAGAATAATTATTATCTTAATTAATTTATTCGACTAGACGTTTATAATATTGTACAATACACGCGAGTTAACTCCATTAAGATACTTGTGTGGTTACACAACTCGTGCGTGAGCATCTTAATGATGCTGTTAACTCTCTTGTATTGTAAATATCTATAAACTGCATATTATAAAAAATTATTTCAATTCAATAATGTTATTAAATTTGTAAAACTTCATATCATTTTGGAAAATTTAGAGCAATGTCATTCACTTCAACTTACCAATATTTCCATCACGTTTGTATTCTTCTATAACAGCTTGCATATCACGAAAGGCTTTGTTGAATTCTTGGAAAATGTGATTCTTCGACACAAAATTCCTGTACTGGTCGAGAAGTTGGACGACTTTGTCGACGCGTCCGTATTTGGCAGTCCACGACTTCAGTTTCGTTTCTGTCAGTTGTAAAAATGCGATAAGGCAACACTGAAATTTTATACAAAAAACAGTAATCAAACAAAAAATGAAGTCTTCTTCACTAATGAGTAATTTCAAACGTGTATGTAATAGTCAATATACTAATTAATATAATTAATATTTTGACTATTACTTGCTATTACATAATTATTAATATAATAATATTTCAATCATTGTTGATTGCTCTGTATAATAATATTGAAAATTAAAAATGTCAAATTTTTTGTACAGATTGGTGCCTCTCATAGGACGCGCGACGCGGAGGCTCCAGGGAGAACGGTAGTTTATATACAAATAAAATTTTGGGAGCATATGTAGGTTAGTTGAAAGCATTTTAGAAAAATATATAGAATTATACAGGTGATTATTGACAGGTAATTATTGGTGTCCCCAAAAAAAGTTACGCATCAAAGTTGTATTTCTTGTAATGGAACACTCTATATATTAATCGGATTCTAGAAAAAAAAATAAAGGTGAGTTTTATTAAAGAAGTATATGCCTAAAATGTAAGGATTTTGAGATATTTCACATTTTGTGAAAATGAAGACTAAATTTTAAATTTAAATAACAGGTACCTAAATTGTAATTTACCCTGTATAGCTTAATATTTAATTACAATAACCATCGTATGTTAAACCAAATTAAAATTTGTCCCGTAAAGTTATATAGGGTGAGACAAAATTAATATTGAACATTGGTCACATTAAAAAGTAAGTTACTCTTTTATTTTAAATAGATTACCCAGTATATTATTCCGGTGTTCAATGGAGAATTCATATATCTTCAAAATATTAATAAGGTTGCCTACCCCTCAAACAAAGATTTTCCTGGATATTTTCATTTTTATGATTTTGCGTGAGTATCTCTTTATTATCTGAAAAAATCTAGGGGCTGTGTTAATTTAACAAAAATTAAAGGAAGTAGGGTAAGATACTGTAACATAAAGATACACGTTTAAAACGTCATATTTTAATTATCACAGAATTAAAACTAGATATCTATAATTATGTAACAAAAATTAAATAGATGAAATCAAATGCTCAAAATGCTTCCTTTCCTGTTTACTGCATAAAATGATTCTCTTTTCAAAAGATGTTTTCATGTTAAAAGGCATACGTGGAGTTCTACTTCGTAAAACAGCCATCACAATCATTTCTCTCATGTTGTCGACAATAGTTGGTCAAGTTTTTTAAACACTGTCTATAAACTGTTTTAAACACTGTCTATAAACTATAAAAAAGCCCAGACTAGATAAAATTTAAGCGTTTAAGAACTATATTAATTGGTGAATGGTACTGCCATTCTACTAATAGAATCATATTAATTCTCTCTGATGTAGGATAAGTTTCCAGTTTTGGCAAATTTCTGAGAATATTTTTTGTGTTTTAACTGACACAAAATGGTAACTAGTTGTTAAAGTTGATCTAATTAGACAGGTATGTTGAAGTAACGTCAGACATATCACCAGCCACCTAGATTTTGTCAAATAATAGAGTTCTACTGGCACTAAATCATAAAAATGAAAATATTTAGGAAAATCTTTGTTTTAGAGGTAGGCAACCCTGGTAGTACTTTAAAGAGACATAAATTCCCCATTGAATATCGGAATAATATACTGGGTGGTCCATTTAAAATAAAAGTGTAACTTGCTTTTAGAGGTGGTCAATGATCAATATTAATTTTGTCTCACCCTGTATAACTTTTTGAGTCAATTTTTAATTTGTTTTAAAGTACAAAAGTTATTTTAACTACATATTAGGCTATACACATATTAACTACACTGGGTAAATACCAATTTAGGTAGCTTTTATTGAAATTTAAAAATTGTGCTTCATTTTTAGAAAATGTTTAATAAGTCAAAAACCTTCCATTTTAGTCATATACTTCGCTAATAAAACTCACCTTTATTTTTCTCTTGCAATCAGAAAAGCAATTAATATAAGGTGTTCCATTACAAAAAAACACAACTTTGATGTGTAACTTTTTTTAGGGACACTCTGTAGAACTCTCTATATTTTTAAAAAGTGCTTTAAATTAACCTACATTAACCCACAGTATTTCATCTCAATACAAACTATAGTTCTCCTCTCCCCGTCGTATGAGAGGCGCCACCCTGTATATCTGCAGTAACCTACGTTCTTATCATAGAGGTTAAAATAAGTTCTTACCTTGTGTTCGAGGAACTTGAGCCTGACCCGTCTCTGAGCCGCTTTGGGTCCCACCTCGTTCAGTCTTACAGCCATATTATTCAACTGTTCGGAAGGCACTTCGTTAGCGAGGGGACTTTGGCGCGCTCTGGCGAATCTCTGTTCCACCGCGGGCAAATCCGCGAAGAACGCTTTGTGTTCTTCTAACTTCCTACTAATAATCGTAGCAGTCTCTTCATTCATCACGGTAGGAATTTCGTCACAATATAACAACTTCTCGGCCTTGGCCAACCATTCTCCGATAGTCTTGAAGTCTCCAGGTAATCTAGAGTCCAACAGCCACAGCCAGTACAAGAGTTGAAGTTGGAGCTTGTCCCAAAGTCTAGTGACTTCCGACCAAGACTCTTTGGCGATAGAGACTGGGCTTTGGGATTCAATAAGGTTCTTCAGTCGGGTGTAGAGTTTTTGTCGATCGTCCACTTCGGCTTTGAAAGCCGAGTATTCGTTATAGTCTAGAGGTAATGAGTTGGTTTGTTGGAGGTGGTCTAAGTGTTGGGTTTTCTTAAGCAGCCACGAGAGGAGTTCGCTGTATTGTTCCTGGATGGCGGCTATAGCATCAGGCCCTGTAGCTTTCGGTTCAGGATATCTGAAAGAAACACATTTTTAATCGATATTATAAATTTTCTGCTGAGTAGTTTTCATTCTTCTGATGTAGTCATCTAGCTCCTAGAATAAAATCTATAAATTTTGTGTATGTTTGGAAACCTAAAAGTATGTACTAGCACCATCTAGGATATTTCAGAAAATATTACACTTTATAAAGGTACAAGAAAAGTGTGAGTGGATGAGGATCAGTGGCGTATCCAGGGTTCATGCCTGGGGGGTCAATAACTCAGTATTATACCTAAATATATATTTTTTACATTAACAGGTAAGTACCTACCTAATTACAGCTAGGTACTATGATAAATAGTATATAGGTATAAATAAATAACAGAAATATTTACTTAAGAAAATGGTTAATAATTTTCTATGCTTTGCTCTAAACGCTATTGACCGCAGAAAGGGCCGAATATCAAGAAACATTGCAGCCACAATCCGACATTCAAATAAGAACCGCAACTTCTCCACTGAGGATCAATACCAAAAGAAAGTAAAACAAATTTACTTGACCCTGAAAAATAGAAAATCGCCTGGTCCAGGTGAAATTCCTCTAGAATTACTCAAGTACGGCACGGATAAATTATATAAGCAGTTCGCTAGTCTTTTCAAAAAGTGCCTTAATGGTGAAAATATACAGAAAGAATGGAAGACATCATATATAACAACAATACACAAGAAAGGAAGTAAAGACGATTGTGATAATTATCGAGGAATCTCCGTGTTGAGCTCTGTTTCAAGGGTCTATGGAAAATTGGTCAAAAAGATTGAGGAAGAATACCGGGATATGGAGGCTGAAGAACAAGCGGGGTTTAGAGCTGGTAGATCCACGGTCGACCATTTTATTTACACTGGCAGATAATTAGAAAAGATGGCAAAGAAATCAAAATACATCTCCTCTGCGTAGACCTCAAGAAAGCATATGATAGTGTACCCCAGTCTAAATTGTGGGAAGCCCTCGAGAAAACGAATATCAACATAACATTAATTAAGGCTGTCCAAGAACTTTATAAGAACAACACTAGCCAAGTAAAGAAAGGACAAACAGTATTAAAGGGATTCAGCATAAACAAAGGTCTTAAACAGGGCTGCTGTCTGTCCCGACACTGTTTAAAATCTATTTGGAACAAGCTCTGAAAATGTGGAAAAGGAAGAAAAAAGGCGAACAGATGGAGATACCACTAAACGACTCGATACTTTACACTCTTTGTTTCGCTGATGATCAAATAATACTGGCTCAAGACTACTAAGTAACATTACATCACAAAAAATAATCATTAACACAAAAATTAACTACAAAATTAAAAAAGAAACAAATAACAAAATAAGGAGAAACAAACAAAAAGCCAAGTGAATAAAGTAAAAGCACAGATGCAAATAAAATTAAATATGCATATCAGTTTTTGGCTTTTTGTTTCATTAAAGTACCTCCTCTGTACTAACAGATATTTCTGGATACATATACAAAAGGGATAAGCCATTTAGTCTCTCTTTACTTACGGTGTTACTTAGGTAGGACTTTAACAATTTTAGGGTTGAAAATTTCCTTCCAGGTGTTGCCGTACTAACGGGTAAAAGTGCATTTTTTTTAATAAGATAAATGTTAGGAAATAGTTCTTGGTCAAATATTAACAGGGCATCGAGTGCGGAACTTGGGTAGTCTTCTGGTGCATAGTCTTCAAATATTCATGCTAGAACTTAAGTTAGCCAAGAAACTACAGAAAATGAAAGGGAAGTTTTTCTAAGTCGTTTTATAAAAATCTATATATATTTTTAGATTCGATACTTCATAATCAGTTTTTTATTTAGGAGAGGGAATAAAGAGGCTAAATGATATGTGAGTAGCTCTTTATTGTTTAACAAATCGTTCTTCCAAACGTAATACTACGTGATCTAAAAAAGGAATAAAAATTGATAATCTGTAATAATCTTGAGCAGTTTCAGTTTTAAAAGTCGGCCTGTTTTTTTGTCTACTAGTTATTCGGTTTTATTTCCTGTCCAAGCAATTCGTTCATGTTTCTGTTTGCTTCTGTAAAAATATCTGCGAAGCTGGTATTTAAATTATTGTTTAAAATATAAAATAGGATGGCATGAGTCGTGTCTGGAGTAGTACTGCTTACTTGGATACGCCACTGATGAGGATGACTTCTTTTAAATGAAACACCCTGTATATTATTGCATTTTTGGTTCCTTTTAGATCACTTTACATAATCTAAGATGAGATTAAATATATTTCGATTGTTTTTTTTTTTTTTTTTAGAAATAAAAATATATATTTTCAGCCTTTCTTAAAAAATATTAAAAATACAAGAACTGTCCTAAAATCAAAACTATATTGAATGCCGCTTCAGATAGGTCTGTATTTACTTTGCTATAAACATAATAATCATATAATCGCTGGGATGTTCAAAATTCTACAACAAGCCTCCTAAAATATAAAATAATTTTTCATTGTTTTTAAATGGAACACCCTGTATATTATTTTTTTTATTGACGATTTCAAAATGCACATTTTGTGTTGAAGTATTTCAAAATTTTTTAACGGTTTCGCAGATATTCGCGGTTTTATATATCATATGGCATTTTCTGCAGCTAATTTTATCAAACCACCATGCATTTTCCTCTCGTATTTTACCATTGAAAGAGCCCTATGAAATAATACTGCCAAACCATTAAAATTTTGAAATACTTTAAATACAAAAATATTTTAGTTGCTCGTCTAATCAAAAATAATATACAGGGTGTTTTCATTAAAAAAAAAAGAAACAAAAAAAGAAAAAATATATATTTTAGAAAGTTTGTCATTAGAATTTTTGAACACCCTGAATGATTTAAGATTATTTTTTTTTTTTTTTTTTTATTTTTTAAAGTAAATACCTAATAACAGTTTTGATTTCAGGATAGCTTCTTGTATTTGTAATAATTTTTTGGCAGTTACAAAATATATGTTTTTATTTAATTATTATCTCTGAAGTGTCGAAATATATTTATTTATATCTTACGATTTTGTGAAGTGATCTGAAAGGAAGCCAATGCAATAATGCGGTGCGTCATTTAAAAAAAAATCATCCCGATCCACTTACGCTTTTTGTTACCCTGTAGAAGTTAAAATATTTTCATGAAATACATCCTGGTACTTTAGGTTTGTGTAAACAAAATTCGCAAGTTTTTATTCTAGGAGCTACAGATGCCCGACGCATTGCCGGACCCTGTAGTGACTTTGATTTTAATAAAAACTTGCTCCCATCATTAATAGCGTGTCATGACTAAATATTATCGAAAAAGAGGTAGTCCTCAGTGGTGATAATTGTTGTCCGTTTTGCAAAAATTCGGTAGAAATCACGTAACATCTTATACGTGAGTATACGGTACAAGAGACTAGCTTGTACGTCCCACTAGTCTAAGTTCACTTCTATATAAGTCTTGGGGAAATGAACATCGATGATATTCCCCATATATTAATTTATTTGGTTAATAAATAAGTGAGAATTAATACCAGTATTTCTAACAGCAGTGTTTGCTGCGAATGTAATCGCAGTTTTATGTGTTTTAGGAAGGTTTCGGAAACACCTTAAAGGTTTTTAAGGTTTCGGCTGCCGTATCCGAATCAGATAGGGGAAATAGCACCTTTAAAAACTAAAGTAAATGCATTTACCGGCGAATTTTGTAATACACATTTTAGTGCAAAGAAGGGTTTAACATGCCATTTAAAATCACATGCACTAGTGGCACAAAGTAATTGACCAAATTATCAAAGAAGTGAGGCAGATGTAAGTGTAAGCATTGTCATTCAGGATATTAGTAATGATGGTGCATAGACTTTCACTGTGTTTTTCTTTGTCCTCTTTAAAAATGGAAAATTTGTTCTTACTATCCTTAGATTGAGGGATAAAAATAATAATTAATAATATCAATAATAAATAATGGCAATATCCCTGTACAAGAATATTAGAAAAAAAAAAGCCTATCTGATTTTGTCAGTAGATTTAAAGATGATATACATGAACTTTTTAAATGGGATCGCCGATATTAGTGTTAAAAGGAATTACATGAACTTTTTATAACAGAACAATTGAATTCATGGTTTTCTCAAAATAAACAGCTCTTACTTGTGTAAAAATTGTGCGACGTAAGTCATGATCGATTTTTCGTCGGGCTTGGGAACGTCGACGTCTTCGGGGTCGAGAATCTTGGGGATTCCCAGGTGGGACTCGGCCACGTCGAAGGCCGTCTCCAGACGGTCCCTGTTGGAGGCCTTCTTCATCTCGGCGATGTTCACCAGGTTCTTTTTGATGGCGTCGATGATGGCGAGGAAAGCGACGCCATCTCTCCAACTGGCGCCGAAGTCTCTAACCTCTATTCCTAGAATTATACAGAAACATATTAGCTTGTATACAGGGTTGTTCACCACATGACACGGAGTATTGTAGCTAAAAGGTGAGATTTTTACAAATTATGTAAGTCTTACCCAGGTTCGATGAAGGACTATTAGAGGTACAATTTAAAAATAATTCCCCTGAATACAGAGTGTCCCAAATAAGTAAAAAATATCAAAGTTGTATTTTTTAAATGGAACACCTGTATATTGTGCATTTTAGTTTCTACGATTAAAATAAGGTAAATTTGATTAAAGTTTATCACGCTAAACCTTACCGTTTTGAAATATTTTCAATTTTGTGAAATTGCAGTAAAAATTTTAAAGGCTTCATTTCTCCAAGGGTATCAAAGTTTTTTTAATACTAAATATTCACTGAAATTTATTTATTTGGGGT